CGGAGAGATGTCTGTCTGTGTTTCACTGACTTTGCAAAGGCATTTGACTGTGTGGATCACAACAAATTTTGTCTAATCTTGAAGAAAATGGGAATCCCAGAAAGCTTGATTGTGCTTATGTGAAACCTGCACTTGGACCAGAACAGAACAGGAAAACACTGCATGGTTCAAAATAGGAAAGGAGTATGTCAGGGATGCATCCTATCTCCATACCTTTTCAATCTATATGCAGAACAGATCATTTGGGATGCAGGGCTTTATGAGGAATGTGTCATCAGAATTGGAAGAAGACTCATCAAAAACCGACGTTATGCAGGTGACACAACCTTGCTTGTTGAAACTGAAGGAGACCTGAAGCACTTGCTGCAGAAAGTCAAGGACTATAGTCTTTAATATGGATTGAAGCTCTACATCAAGTAAAGATTCTCACCACTGGGCCAATTGTCAGCACCATGATAGATGGATAAGAGATTAAGGCTCTTAACAATTACAGCTTGCTCAGCTCCATAGTCAACTCTCTTTTAACACCAGTAGTCAGGAAATCAAAAGATAAATTGCATTTGGAAAGTCTATCAGGGACCTCTCGAGTAATGAAAAACAATGATGTCAGTCTAGAGACTAAAGTCTTTGCAATCACTTGGTATGCATCAGAGAGCTAGACAATGACTAAGGATGCTAGAAGAAGAATTGTTCAAGTTGTGGTCCTGGAGAAGAGTCTTGAACATATCATGACTGCCAAGACAGCAAACAGGTCTGTCTTAGGGTGAAATGGAATTTCTCCTTGGAGGCTAGGATTTTGAAGCTCCATCTCATATATTTTGGGCACATGGCCAGGAGAGACTGGTCCTTGGACAAGGACATCATGTTTGGAAGAGTGCAGGGACAACACAGCAAAAGATGACCTAGATGAAATGGATTGATAGAGTAACTGGGGCAAAGGGGGTTGGTATGTCGGAATTAGTGAGACTGGCTCAGGCCAAGGCAGGGTTCAGAGCTGCTACATATAGGGTCACTATGTATGAGTTGCAGGTGACTCGACAGCACAAGATAACAACATAGTGAAGTTTCAAAGTAAATAGGGAAATATTTCATCTATAAGGAGAGAAAACTATGCATACATAGGGAAGTAATTTTTAAAAAAAATTTTATTATTTTGTGTGCCTGTACCATCAAATCGAATCTGACTGGTACAGGAGGATATTGTCTTTCCTTTTCCAGCAGAGCATCTGGTGGATTTGAACTGTGTGCCTCTGGGATTTCAGTGCAGCTTTTTGCCACTAGGCCACCAGAGCTCCCTCAGAGAAGTAATTTTTTAATCCTGCAAAATTTTGTTATCTATTGTTTAGGGGGAATATAAATACAAAGTTGAAAGGTTTGTTGAAAAGTTATGGAGACAGGACACATCCCTGGCATACGCCCTTCCCAATTCTGAACCATGCAGTGTTTCCTTGCTCTGTTCTGACGACTGCCTCTTGGTCAAAGTGTAGGTTTTGCATTAGCATGCTCAAGTGTTCTGGGGTTCCTATTCTTCTCAGAGTCAGCCACAGTTTGTTGTGATCCACACAATCAAATGCCTTTGCATAATCAATGAAACACACAGATAGACATTCCTCTGGTATTCCCTTCTTTCAGCTAAGATCTATTTAACTTTAGCTACACTATCTCCAGTACCATGACCCCTTCTAAACCCAGCCTGCACTTCTGGAAGTTCTCTTCTGATGTGCTGTTCCAGTCGTTTTTGGATAATCTTCAGCAGAATCATGCTTGAATGTGATATCAATGTTAAGACACCAATATATTTTATGCTGCCGCTACTGTTATATATTTAAGCCTCTGGTAATATTTGTACCTCCTATGTTTAAATTGCAACTGCAATTATATTCAAATAATTTTCCCTTGAGTAAGATTTTGACTAACAATCATACATTGAAGTTATTTTTTTCTTATATTTTCATGATTATTTTATATGGATGAACCAAATGCTGATTTCAGCCACTCAAGTTCTCCAATCTTTTCCCTCCTCCTTAAAAAAAGTCTTCTGTAATTTTTGTGCAAGTTATAAAAAGGAACTCTAGAGGCACAGTAGATAAAACACGCTATAGCTAACCTAAAGTTTGGCATTTCTGTGCTACCAGCTCCTTAGTGACAAGACAGGGAATACATCCCATCTGCTTTTGTAATGATTACAGCCATGGAAACTCAGAGAGTTCTACTCTGTCAGCCACTGAATCAGACTGCAATCAATGGCAATGAGTTTGTGGGAGTTTTTTTGGTTACATTTTAAACAATTATTTTACTTAGAATGGAAATGTTAAGTAGATGATACAGCTCCTATTTCTGCTTTTCATTTTTAATAACAAGATATATAGCTAGTCTAATTTATGTTGATGATATCATTAGTAGCAACTGCTTAATTGCATTGTTTCTATTCCTTAACCACCCACTCATCAAAAAAGTTGAAAGTTAAATGTGATTGACATAGCACCGAAGTCCATACATAGAGATAAAACCTGTAGGCTACTTACTGGAGGAAAGAATGTTAAGGGAAAAGAAAGAGCTAAAAACCAGCTGGAAATAATTAAACTCCTGAAAATCAGCAAATGAAAACATATGTCTGGTCTTCAACTAGTCATGAAGAACATAGATAGAGGACCATTTCATTCCATTGTGCATTATCGGGGTCCAGCCCTGTTATATTGAAACAGTTCTGCCGAGTGAAGGGACGAGGATGAAATGAAGACACAGAGAGACTACCTGTTGATGACGAATAGCAAATTTACTGATTTTAGAAAAGCATATATAGGTTTTAGAAAACCATCTGCAGTAGCCATCGCATTACCTCTTTCCATCCGAGATGTTGACTGTCAGGTCAAACATTAACTCTCACAGACCTCAGCACAATACAAAGATGTTTTCCAGCATGTCTTATTGTGTGCTCTAAGAAACAAAGAGTTTGGGTAGATAACATTCCCTAAGGTCCGAGACCTTTAGTCACTCTTATTCATTAACATCTGGCTTCCTTGAGTTGTTTATTGCCAAGCAGATGTTCTAGCCAAGATGGAATTAGTCTTGCTGGTTTTACAGTACAGGGCTAATCTTGCTTTGCAAGTTAGTAAGGCCCCTGACAGTGCATGGAGGCAGAATACCTCCAGGCACCTAGCAACATTAACATCACTTTGATATAGTGTATCACACGAGAAAAGGTGTTCTGAATATCCTTATTAATTTGAGCAACATCCTACTTCCTTTTCCAAACTTTCAATCTCACATTTAGACAGCTACTACTGAAGTTTCAACTTTAACTCACCACCATCAAGTCAGGTATGACTCATTGGTTTCTTAATCGTAAGTGGGAAAGATTGCACATCTTTCTCCCTCAGAACCACTGGTTGATTCAAATCACCTTTTGGCATAGCCTTTTGGTTAGCAGTGCAACTCACTAAGAACTGTGTCACCAGAACTCCCTGCTGAGTTTCATTCAACAATTATCTGGTAGAATAATGTAGGAGGTCTAGTGGTCAGGCACTATGCTGCCAACCCAAAGACATTTGTTTGGAATCCACCAGCTCCTTAGCAGGAGAAAGATGAGCAATCTCCTCCCACGCTTCTGAAAACCAGCTGGAGAGGCAGCTATGCATCAGTTCGCACTCAATGGTACATGTGTTGTCGGGGTTGTTATGTGCCTTCCAGACACCTACGTCTCATAACGACCCTATGCACAACAGCTCTGAACCCTCCCCTATCCTGACCCAGTCTCACTGACTCCTACACACTTAATCCCGTCGCCCCAATTATCATGTCAATCCATTTAATTTGGGGTCTTCATCTCCTGCCCTGTCTGTCTACCCTTCCAAGCATGATGTCCTTCTTCAAGGACTGGTCCTTCCTGGTCATGAGCTCCAAGTATGTGAAATAGAGCTTCAAAATCCTTGCCTCCAAGGAGAAATTTGGTTTCACCCTTTCCAAAACTGTCCTCCTAGCAATCCGTGGTATGAGGCATCAACTCTTCTTCCATCATCCTTATTTATTATGCAGCTTTCAGATGCATAGGAAGTGATTGAAAAGACTGTGGCCTGAATCAGGCATATCTTATCTTCAAACTGACATCCTCAGTAATTTGGAAATTTTTCCGGTTTTATACACCTCCTGACTGCTGGTACCAAGAGTGTTAGTTGTAAATCCACTTAATGGAATTTTGAGTAATAATTGCAAGCACAGAGAACAAATTATGTTTAATGTGGACAAAGTCAATCATTAAACATACAAGAACTACCTGTTCAATATTTGCTTAGGGTAATTGATTAAAACTGTACAACAGAGAGATCAAAAGAAAAAATAAGATATTGAAAATCACCTTTGTAACATTTAGGTAAGCCACATAATAAAATTAAAGTCGGTACTCTCGAACCCTATATACACTAATACAAATTTTATTATGAAAATAATTTTTATTATATATCCTATCTCTATCTCTATCTCTATCTCTATCTCTATCTCTATCTCTATCTATATCTATATCTTATCTAGATCTAATCTAGATCCAATCTCTATCTCTATCTCTATATCTATATCCAGATCATCTATATCTATATCTAGATCTAGGTCTAGATATTTTATGATGGGGCAGTGAGAGGACTGTGAGAGGAAGATTCAATGTGGACCTGAAAAGACAGGTGATAATAGGCATAGATCAATAGTAATTAATCATGTAAAATGCAGTATAGAGAAATCATTGTATAAAACACAAAATATATTAATAAAACAAGGTAAATGGAAGATTGTATACAACACAATGTACATGGATGAAACACACCCCATATGAAAGATTGTATGTAAACGAATAAAAATGTGTAAAGAAAACAATATTTAAAAAGCTAGTTAAAGCTCAGCAATCTGCTCCCCTACCGTATTAATAAAATGAAAAAGAGTGAAAGCTGTTGTTTGTTGGCTAATTCCTATTTTTGAAGGGTCTCCAGATGAATTGAGGCTCCACCTCGGCCATGAAACCATTCGAAATTACACTCAGTTGCTGCAGCGAGTAGGTATTCAATTCTGTCACACTGCAGCCCAAGCTGAAAAACAAGTACTGTGACTATTTTTCCCCGCGAAACAGTATTTTGGAGGTAATCCTGTGATATTGGAAGCAGGAGTAGCATCCACTTCCGTAATAGCTTGCCTCCGGAAACCCTATGAACCTGGAGAGAGGATGAGAGACACCCAAGCGTTGAGGAGTCGCCTGCGACTCGACAACCACAACCTCAACAACATATTTTTTATTAATTTTAACGAACGTTTACAGAGACTTTGGATTTCCGTTCATTCATTGTTGCATTTTTTCTCCTTGCCCACCCCTCCCCCCCCAGTTTGCTCTGCTCTTTCAAAGAGTAAAATTCTTTCATTGATATACAATTCTCCCTTCCTCCCCTCCCCCTCAATACACGACACTATTCAGCCTTCATTCTGGACTCCTGTCACGCCCATAATACCCAATCATAATTTTTTAAAGCCTCAACACAAAACCTAAAATCCCAATACAAGTCACCGGAA